GCCACCATGGAGTCACCTCCAGGCTCCTGGTGTGTGTGTGTGTGTGTGTGTGTCAACAAGTACACTCCAGCCACCATGGAGTCACCTCCAGACTCCTGGTGTGTGTGTGTGTGTCAACAAGTACACTCCAGCCACCACGGAGCAGTCGGTAGGTTTGAACCACCAATTTTGTGATTAGCAACCAAGCGCTTTAACCAGTGTGCCACCAGTACACATATACAGCTAGGAAAAACTCATCAAGCTGCTAAGATTGGGGTGCTTTACCCAGCTTACCACATGCAGCTGTACCTCAATTTTAAAAAACGCAAAACAGATCAAACACCACAAACTTACAGGCAAAAACACAGGGTGTCTGGAATGAACCCCAAAATGACCGAAATGTCAGGGTGACCATCGAGATCAGCCATGAGTCTCTAAGTGTTGGACTGAGCTAGCGGGTACCTGGCACGTCTTCGTCTTCTGTGCTTCAGCAAGTGTTTGAAACATTTCGTAATAAACCACTGTTGTCTAAAGCCACTGACACAGCTGTGACTCATTGTGGTTCTTAACACTCGGGCTGTTGTTTCAGAGGAGCAGCTGGTAGGTGAATCGCCCACCCTGTGGTTAGTCCAGTGCTTATCCTACAACTCCACAACAGGGCTCCATTTGTTGTTGCTGTTAAGTGCAACATCAAGTCGGTTCTGACTAGAGTGACCCTGTTGGGGGTTTCTGAGGAGCAGTTGGGATGCTGACCTTGTGGTTCACAGTCTGCAGAGTCACAGCCTACCCTACAACGCCACATCAGGATTTGATTACAAGGACTAAAAAGAGCACAGCTGTACCTCAGAGCTAGTGTGGGTTTGATTCCAGAGCACAGCAATAAAGCAAAGATGGCTCTAAAGCCACAGTACGAACTGTTTGCTTCTCAACAATAAAAGCTATGCTTACAATACAATATAGGCTAGAAAGGTGTGATGGTGTGTGTCATCGAGTCGGTTCCAACTCATAGTGACCCAGGCAGGATTTCTGAGGAGTGGCTGGTGGGTTTGAATCTCTGACCTTGTGATTAGCAATCCAGTGCTTGTCCTACACCACCATACCAGGACTCCAAGTGTGCCACAGCATTGTGAAAAAAAATTGGAAACATTGTGAAAATGAATGAAATGTGACAAAGACACACGAGACTAACACATGTTGTTTAAACTAGGACACCAAGACGAGCTCCATGGAAGATGTCCAGTTCTTAGCAGGATCTGCCCTGGTCCATGCTCGTCTAGTGCTGCCCTCTGGTGGCATTTTATGGAACTGCAGCCCCATCTCCAGAGCTGGTACCAGCCGGTGGGGCTGCCCTCTGTTCCCACCCAGGGCTCCAGGCAGGACCTGCTCACCTCTGTGAGGTACTCGGCGTGGTGCTTCGTGGCCACAAACACCACTGTCTGGTCCTGTGGCCGCACCACGTTTCTCAGCAGGTGGAGCAGCACGGCAGGCTTGGTGTCCTCGCGCACATGGAGGAAGGTGGTCTGTGGGCAGAGGGGCGTGAGTATTGGCTCACAGGTCCTGGCTGCACCCCCCTCGGGGAAAGGGGGAGTCCCACCTTGAGCTGCTCGTTAAGTTTGGCATCCACGTCTAGCCGGATAAGCGAGGGCTCCGTGAGGCCTGAGGCGGAAACCAGGGAGAGTCACTCAGCAAGACAGACAAGCCCCCTGGGCCCCAACCCCCAGCCCTGTCCACACACCAACCCTGCCCACTCACCGGCCCGAGCAAATTCCACCAGCAGTTTGGGTAGGGTGGCGGAGAACAGCACAGTCTGGTGGCCCCCGGGGAGGCGGCTGATGATTTCCTGCAGCTGCTCAGCGAACCCCATTTCAAAGAGTCTGCAGGAGCAGAGGTTGGGTTGGGGTCCCGTGTATCCCTGACCCACCATCATTTCTGCCCCGTGTACTGAGGTTTGCCTCACTCCGTTCACCTCTCTCACCTTTCCTTAACCACCTCACCTTAAGCCCTGAAACCGGAAGAAGGAGCAGCAACTCCCAATTCCCGACAGCCCCACAGGTATCAGAACAGCACTGTGTTCCACAAGGTTTTCAGTGGCTGAGGTTTGGGAAACAGATCTTCAGGCCTTGCTTTCTGAAGCACCTCTGGGCTGACTCACACTTCCACCCTCAGGTTAGCAGCTGAGCATGCTGTCTATACCACCCAAGGTCTCCTTGTAAGCAACGAGCCTGAAATCCTGATTCTGTTGGTTTAGTTACATTTCCTACAAATGATAACTGTCCTCACTTTGTGCCAAACCCAGTTCTACGTACTCTAAGCTCATCAAGTCATCTAATCCTCAAAGGATTAAGTAGTATAAGCTGTTTTATCCCCATTTTACAGGTGAGGCAAACTGAGGCCCAGAGACCTTCAATGACTGGCTCAGGCTCAGAGTGGGGAACTGGCAGGGCTGGGGTTTGAGCTCACACCTCTCTGGCTCTAGAATCTGCTCTTAACCTTGCGCCATTTTGTCATCACTTAAAAATCATATTTGTGGCTTTCTTCTACTTCTTTTTGACATAACTGAATGTAAATGAGACTGGAGCAGGGCACTGTCTGTGCTCTGGAGACGCTGCCGCCCTCATAAGTCTGTTCTGGCCAAGCTGCTTTCTCCTGGTTAACCCTGCCTCCCTCTGCTTTCCCAGCTTCGGAGCCAACAATGACGCAAGTACGCAGGTGTACCTGCAGCCTTACCTGTCGGCCTCATCAAAGACCACGTACTCTACACTCTGCAGCTTCAGGTTCATCTCCACAGCCACATGCATCAGCCGTCCAGGGGTGGCAATGATTCTAGAAGGGGATCCACAGACCAGTTCACCCCAGGGTCAGGGCCACCACCTTCATCTTCCTCTCACCCCCTGGGGCACTGGCCAACTTGCTCCCAAAACATCATCATCCCCAACTCACATGTCAGGATTTTCATGCAGGGCCGCAAACTGGTCTTCCATTCTAGGAAGAAAGGAGGTGTTAGCTTGATAGGACACATCGCTTTTGTCTCGTTCCCTCCCCATAACCAAGCACCCATGTGAGTCCCCATCCCCTGTCCCTCAAATACAAACCCAGGGGAGTCCCCTATCCTACAAAGACAGACCCTAGGCTTGGAACGGAGGAAAAGCTATAGCAGAGACACTAGGCAAAGGCAATGCTTCAAGAAGAGACACAAATTGAAACACAGAAAATAATTACAACAAAGAGTCCCCCCAAAAGATGGGCTCAACCATAAAAGCCTCCACTACTGGACTGTGAAGCACAAGGTCAGCGGTTCAGTCACAGCAGCTGCTCCTCGGAAACCCTATACAGGGTCACGCTGACTCAACTGACTTGATAGCACTTAACAACATAGCAACAAAGCTGCCTTTAGAGGAAATCCCGACAGCCAACAAGAATATAACGAAATGGTCACGATCACAAGTCATTAGAGAGATACAAATCAAAACAACAATGACATACCATCTCACACCAGCAATAACAGCAAAGATCAAAAAAGTACTGGACAATATGCCAGAGATGGAGGCAGAGATGAAAGCGTGGAGAGATGGAGTGGCTGGAGACTTTAGACCCAGAGAGGGAGAGGGGCTGTGTGCTGATGACCAGGGGGCAGGCTTGTAGTGTATACCCTTTGAATGGTTGACGATGCATGGAGGGGATTGTAACCATGGCATTGAAACAATATACGATACGATGAATGTAAAACTAATGTTCTCCCATGTAAACTATCACAACATTCACATTAAAACATTTATTAAAAAAAAAAAAGCTGCCTTTGACCCACAGCGCCACCTAGCAACTAGCCCTGGAGTTGCTGGCACCAGAACTGCTGGCTCAAACAAGAACCCAGGTTTCCTGATTCTTGGAAACCCTATACAGGGTGGTGGTTGAGGCGGAACCAACTTGACAGCACTCAGCACACATGTGATTTTTTGGGGCTTTCTTTGGATGGGATGGAGGGGTGGGTAGCGTTAGCACTATGGGTAGACCTAGGCTAGGCCTAGGGCTTCCTTTAGAGTCAGGGGTGTTGTTAGGACTGGATGATTGTGGGGGGGTTAGGGGTTGGGCTGTGGCTAGGAATAAAGCTTCGTCTGGTTTTTAGGGTTACAGTTAGATTTATTTTTATATATTTATTCTCTTGAAATTGACTTGATTTCTTCTTTATTTGGAAGTTCTATAACTACATTATTCCCTCTAGGTACTTGTTCTTAAACCTTTTGGGCACACACCCCTAACTTCAGCTCTCTGAAACACCCTTAGGACACCTGTAGCAGCCAAAATCGGAGCCAGGCCTAGCCCAGGGAGGCCCAAGAATCTCACACCACAGAGACAGTAAGTCATAATGTACACACAAGACAGTAAGTCATAATGTACACAAGAGTGCAGAAAAGCACAACACCCCCCGCAGAACCAAGAGTGACTGTCACAAAAGGCAGGGAAAAGACAAAGAAAGAGCTGCCTTTTGAGGTAAAACCATGGAACAAGCAGGAGGTGGACAGCAGACTGGGTTCTGAGCTCCACTTCACTACCCGGGGTCCCATCACTTCCTCAGTTTGCTCTTTAAACAGGTGTGGCATTTGCTACCTCAGATGGATGGTACAAGCATCTCAAGAAGTAGTACATTTTGCAAATCTGAGCTTGGCAGACATTCCATATTTTTGGTGCATGCAACTTTTAAACAATCCACAATTTGTTGTTGCTGTGAAGTGCCACTGAGTTGGTTGTAACACACACAGACCCTATATAGAGCTTACTAGAAGCAGCCGGTGAGCTTGAACCGCCAGCTTTGCAGTTCAAACAGACTTTGCGGTCCAGCACATGAAATCACAACGCTAGACTTAGGCATATTAAAATCTGTACAACCCCCCCCACCAAAAAAAAAGGGGGGGAAATATATATAAATACATATATAAACCCACCCAAAAGACTCCTGGTGTGGGCTGTAGGAAAAGCACTGAATCACAAAGTCATTTGAATCATAAGGCTAGCAGTTCAATCTTACCAGCCGCTCCTCGGAAACCCTATACAAGGTGACAATGAGTCAGAACTGACTCAATGGCACTTAACAACATATCCCAAAGCCAAATTTCAAATTCTCATGGACTCCAGACTTCCTGGAGCCATGGAGGCAGGATAAATTCCTCAAACTGCTGCCCAGACCTAAGATTATCTCTAAACCTTAAACCAAAAATATCCCGTTTAGTGTTCTTCAAACCATAGTTTAGCTTAACTAGTAGGAAACGTCTGCCTTGAGCATCTTTTAAAACTATCTTGTTGTTGTTACTAAGTGCCATCAAGTCAGTTCCAACTCACAGATGACCCTGTAAAGGATTTCCGAGGAGTGTTCGGTGAGTTTGAACCCATGTCTTTGCAGTTAGCAGTCTAGTGCTTATCCTATGGCACCACACCAGGACTCCAAGAACTAAGGGATTGAACTGATAACAGCAACTCGAAAGAGCAGCGACCTTAAGGAGTAGTGAGCTTACGTTCATGTTGTTGTTAAGTGCCGTTCAGTCGGCTCTGACACATATGAACCCTGTTTCTAAGGGTTGGAATCTTTGAGGGAGCAGAAAGCCTCATCTTTCTCCCGCAGAAGAGCTAGCAGTTTTGAACTGCTGACCCTGAGGTTAGCAGCCCGATTCGTAACCACTACGCTACCAGAGCTCCTTTATGGGGAGGAACGATTCAGAAAAGGAGGCTGAGAATGGTTGTACAGCTTGGAGAATGTACTCAAGGTCACAGAACTGAACAGGCAGACATGACTGAAGTGGTGCTCAAGAGCATAGATATATAAAATTTTAACAAGAATAAGGACTCTGCTGCGGGACAACTGAGTTAGAAAATAATCAAATTTCCCCACACACTTTCTGAAGCCCCCCATACATGCTAAACTGCCCACTTTGCGGAACACTGCAGTACTTGTGTGGCCAACTCGCTTTAACAAACTAGTGCGCGTCTCCCCGAATGTCTCCTCTGGATGTGCAGAGAATCTGATGACTAAACAGCATAGGCTCGGCCACCCTCTACCCTGAGACTAGGGGGCACGAGTGAATGGTGGGACTGTGGCATGGGAGGAAGGGGCTCTTACTTGTCCCCACCCAGGATCAAGGCAGTCTTGAGGCCAGTGAACTTGCCCAGCTGTGGAGAGAGAAAGAGAGGAAGACTCAGTAAAGGGGAGACAACACAGTGCTTGCACCCGTGCCCAATCAGCCCTGCTGTCTCCCACACCGGACCCACTCACCTCCTTGGTGAACTTCATGGTCTGCAGGGCCAGCTCCCGGGTAGGAGAGAGGATGAGGGCGCGGGCCCCAGTCTGGGCACTGCGGGTCTTGAGCCGCTCGAACATGGGGATAAGGAAGCAGGCAGTCTTGCCGCTGCCTGTCCGGGCCATGGCCACCACGTCCTTGCCATCCAGAATCATCGGGATGGTCTATAGAGGTGGGGGGAAGGACAATGAGTGGGAAAGGCTGTCACCCAGCCCTGGTCTCATTCCTGCAAGAGCAAGTTTGTACTCCTCCAGGGATGAGCAGCTCACTACCTCCAATTCTTTCCATTGGTGGGACATCCTTCAGAGTGAGACACTCTACCTCCCTGTCTAGTCCCCGTCATTATGTCTGCCAGCTGTGATCATAAGCCCTGGGTGAGAATGGGGTGCCACCTACTGCCTAGACAAAGGCTCAGCAGAGACAGCGCTTGGGAGGTTTAGAGGCTAAGAGGCCCAGGTTCTAGGCTCCCCTATGTTGGGCACAATTTGCTCTATGTGTCAGATGGGCAAGCTCAGGGGGGCTTCAGCCACATTAAGTGGGGTGACAGCTATCAAGAGCCACACAGGAGGACCAGGCTGTGCACCCCTCCCTACAGACCAGGCTCCCAACATGTACCTTCCTCTGGATGGGCGTTGGCACCTTGTAACCTTTCTTCATGATGCCTTTGAACACCGGGTAACTCAAGCCTGGAGGGGACACACACAGAAAAGGTCCCCTTCAACACTCACCTTCCACAGACCCCAGTTCAAATCCCAGCTGTGCAACTCTGGGCCTCAGTTTCCTCAGGTGAAACTTAAGAGACCATAATGGTGCCTCCCTGGAGGGGCTGTGAGCACTGAGCTGCGTGTCCCCTAAGTGCCAGCTCCTTTTGTGATGAGTGACGATGTCAGGTGTAGCACCGCCCCACCTCCTTCAGCCTTCATCCTAGTTCCTTAGGGCCAAAACCAACGCCTGCTCTATCTCCACCACCATCTCCACCACCTCTACCACCACCTCCACCTCCTCAGCCTTCATCCTAGTTCCTTAGGGCCAAAACCAACGCCTGCTCTACCTCCACCACCTCCACTACCATCTCCACCACCTCCATCTCCACCACCACCATCTCCACCACCTGTGGATATTTTTGCACTACAATATTATAAGAAAGTTGAAAATATTTATGTCTGCACCTGTCGAAAAGCAATGAGAGAGAAAAGGTACAGAGCAAATGGGACCAAATGGATTGGCCCTTATTTGGGTTTTGATCAGAACAGAAGGCTAAGAACACTGTGTGCTAAGTGGGGAACTCCAATTCTAGACTGGTCTGGGATAGAACGGAGGGCCGTTCCTTTGTTTTAGGCGGGGCACAACACTGTATGAAGAATCACACAGGGGGTCGGGGATAAGACGGATGTTAGAGGCAGCTAAAGGTGGGAGATGGGGACACAGAAACCCAGAACTCACAGGCCTGCACTAGTTTTCTTTATGTGTCTGAAACTTCCTATATAAGGTGGGCGGTGACAAGGGCCCATGGCAGGTGTAGATGTGGGTGTTGAGAAGTGAGGTCCATGGGAAAGGAGGGTGACTTGGGTGGTGGAAAGGTTGGAAATCAGTAAACACCGTGGTCTAAGCTGCTTTTGGGCCCCATCTTTCCTATCTGCCATTCAGAAAGGCAAAACGCTGCCATACCCATACATAGTTGTTTTTCTGATTTCTGATGAAGCTTCGCATGTTTTTGATACATGAATTGGCCATGTAGATTTCTTTTGAGGACCGTCTTCTGTTCATGTCTTTGTCTCATTTCCCTATCAGGGTATCTGTCTTTTATTATTTATTCATAAGCATGCTTTATAGATTAAGGGTGCTAACCCTTTGTCTGTTCTACAGTTTACAAATACAGCATTTATTTTCATTTTGTTTATAGTATATATATTTAAACAAATACATGCTTAATTTTAAAAAAGAGTCAGATTAATTGATGTTCATTTGTGGCACTATAGGATAAACACTGGACTGCTAACCACAAGGTTGGTGGTTCAAACCCACCAGCTGCTCCTCAAAATCCCTATATAGGGTGGCTGTTGAGTCGGAACTGAGTCAATAACACTTAACAACAACATCACACTTAGAAGGGCTTTTCCTTCCTAAGGTTTGAAAAACATTCACCCTGACATTCAAATCCTTGTACCAGTTGCTAGTGATGTGCAAAGAGCAAGGAAGGGGCATGTTTCCAAATAGCTAGGCAGGTGTTCCAGCACACTGCCCAACTGGCCCACCTTGTCCCCTGGTCTGAAGTGTTATTTTGCTGTGCAATAAATCCCCAAATGTCTTTGCCTGTTCCTGTACCATCCTCGCCTCAGCCAGACCTGCTCTAATGGTTCTATTACATGCCAGGCCTTGAATGCCTGGAGACCGTTTCTACTGCCTCATCTCCTGACAACCCACCACAGTGCTGGGCCCCGAGCAGACATCATTAATCAACTGCAGACAATACAATGATCAATGTTTCCAGCTCACCCACCCATGGACTGGAAGCCTCCCGATTTCTTCTTCTTCTTGTTCTGTGCTCGCACCATCTCCCGAGTGTCTGGCTCCACGTCTGAGGTGCATTCTGAGGTGGGAAAGGCAGGCAGGGGCCTGCCAGGGCCCAGCTGAGAAGGAAGAACAGAGAGACCAAATCAGACCAGTAGGGGCGGGGGAAGGGGATGTCCTGTGACCAGTTTCTCCCCAATTCCAGCCAATGACTCTCCTTACAGATCATGTGATTTCTGCATTAAAGGTTTCTCCCATGACTGGGCCAGGACAAGCCAGAGGCTCAGAACATGGGCTCGGGAGACACACTGCCTGGGGTTCAAATCTCAGCTCTGACAATGACCAACTGTGAGACCTCAGGCAAGAGACTTAATTTCCCTGCGCCTCAGCTGGAAAACGAGGATGGCAGAGCATCGGCCCTATAGGGTTCTTGTGAAGATTAAACGGAAGGAAAGGAGAAAATAAGAAAGAAAGGAGAGAGAGAGAAAAGATTTGGCAATGGGTACTAGTGATGGTTGTGCCACACGGAGATGTAGTTGGTGTGGCTGGGCTGTACCCGGAAAATGGTTGGAATGGAAAATGTTTTGTTATATACAGATTGCTACAATACAAAACAAAAGGTACATATATGCTTTTTTTAAAAAAAAAAAAGGTTAAACGGAAAGGTGGAACACTTCAAGCAACTGGTGGTATTACCATCACCAACATTATCTGTCATGCAAAGGTCTCAAAATTAAAAACTGTGAGAAGTCAATAAAAGTACCCGCTTTGTGGAGTCCTGGTGTGGCACTGTAGGATAAGCACTGACCTGCTAACCACAAGGTTCAAACCCACCAGGCTCTCCTTGGAAACCCTATCCAGAGTCACTAAGAGTCAGAACCAACTCGAAGGCAATTGACAACAATGAGTCAGAAATGACTCAACAGCACTTCACAATAACTAATAATAATAGGAGTCCTGGTGTGGTGTTATAGGAGAAACACTGGCTTGCTAAGCAAAAGGTGGCAGGTTCAAACACACTCTTCACTCTTCAGAAACCCTATACAGGGTCACTATGAATCATAACTAATTTGACAACACTTAACAACAACAAGTAATAATATGCAGTCATACAAATGATCCCACTCAATCCTCACAACCACCATACCAGGGCTATGAGATGTGTACCACTATTATGCCCGTTTTACAGACAAGTCAACAAAGGCACGTTAAGGGGAAGCTCAAGTTCCAACAGCCAGCAAGTGGGATTTTGGGATTTGCATGCAGCATCTGTGATTTTTTAAGTCTGGCAGCAGCCTGTTTTCTCCAGTTGGAAACAAGGAGAAATGTCTGCATTTTGAAAAGACTGTAAAAATCATTACAGGCCACAAGCCTGAAATATTAACCATCAGGCCCTTGATAGGAAACATTTACCACCCTTGCTTAGGTACACAAAAATAAAGTGTTGGAAACACACAGATGTCGTAACAACACTTCCAGAAGGAGGGCATATAAATGTACAAATACTGTATCACTTAATCTTTAACCTGCCTTCTACGGATGTGGGGACAGAGGGTCTACAAAAGGTCAACAGTTAGCGGCCTTACCCATTAGCCGCTTGAGAGAAAGACCTGGCTGTCTATGTGTGCCAGTAAAGACGACAGTCTGAGAAACCCTACTCTATCACCTGGGGTCTCTGTGAGTCGGGATCCATTCAAGCGACCTACCAACATCTCACAACCAGTACAGGGTTGGGGCAGATTTGAACAGAGCTGCGCCTTGAGAAACCCCAATATGCGGGCTCCTTTTCTTACCGCTGTGCTGCCGATCAATGCGCTGTACTGCAAATCAATGCGCTGTACTGCAAAGTCGGTTTGAGACTCCAGGTTGGCCACTCTAGCTCACCAGTTGCTCTTTGGAAACCTTATACAGGGTTGCTATGAGTCAGATTGGACTCAAGGGTACTTAACAACTACTTCTGGTGTGGCACTGTAGGATCAGCACCTGACTGCAAACCACAAGGTCAAGCGCATCCAAACCCACCACCTGCTCCTTAGAAACCCTGTGTAGGGTTGCTACGAGTCAGCACTGAACAACATTACTTCTGCCCTCTTGTGCTGTTCAGCACCTTTAGCAAGTTCTCTACAAACATTTAGAGTCCTGATGTGGTGCTGCAGGATAAGCACTGGACTGCTAACCACAAGTTTAGCAGTTCAAACCCACCAGTCACTGCTCAGAAACACTAAACGGTCGCTATGAGTCAGAACTGACTCAATGGCACTTAATGACAACAACTGTATGCCAGGCTGGTGTGGGGAAACAGTGGTATGGGGTCTCATCTGGTCCCTGCTCCAGAGGAGTGCATAAGAGTTGGATCCACTGGTTGGCATTCACAAACGGTAAGGTCTTGATCAAGTTCTTTAAGCCCTCTAGGCCTCAGTCTCCTGGTCAGGAAAATGGGGGTGCCAGAGCTCAGCTCACAAGGTTGGAGTGAGGATAAAACGAAAGTCATGCAAAGCTCTTAGCTTTTAGGCAGTAAAGAGCATTCAACAGGTGATCCCAGGAGACTTGGGAACGTCTCTCTCGCCTCTCCACCTAAAGGCAGTAACTTCCCAAGAATCCCTCAAACCCATTAAGACGCATCTTCACCCGCACTTCTCATTGGACAGTGGAGCTGGGACTCGCCCCCCTGGGTAGCCCACGAGGGGTGAGAGAGCAGACCCCTCCTGCGGGAGTGACAGGCCCCAGGACACGTGCTCAGGACGGCGGGCCTGCTCCCAGCCGCGGGCCACGCGGACCCCTCCACCCTCAGCCGTGCTCCATTCCTCAGCAGAGGGAAACTGAGGCCCCGGCGCGGCCTCGGGCTCCGACGCGAGTTCCAGCCCTGTGATCCCACCTTCCGGGCCCTGGCGTCATCTTCCGCCTGGATCTCAAACTCGCCGTCCTCCGAGTCGCTGCTGTGGGCCTGGGAGGCCGCGCCCCGGCGCTTGCGGATCCCTTTCTTCTTCCTCCACTGGGCCATGGCCGTTCGAGACCGGGGTCCGGCCGCGGAGCGTGAGCCGGCCGCCATGCGGGCCGCGCGGACGGAGATGGAAGTGGGCGGAGCCTGCGGGCCGCACCAACTGCGCGGACGGGAGGGGGGGGAAGAAACAGTCAACGCCCCACGGCTGCGCCCCGCCACCGCCTGCAGCCCCGAAAGCCTGGTTCTTACACCCCCCCGACTGGCGGGGGAACTTCTTCTGGCTATGGGAGGTCCTGGGGGCGTCAGGATTCCGCCCTTGCAGTAATGGTTCCGGCCGAATCGACTCAGCCGTGTCTTATTTGTTGTTGGATGCGCGCGTCGCTAAGGCCTGGTTCTCCCGGGTGAGTGAGTCTGCGCTGGGGGCCGGGGGCCGGGGCCGGGGGCGGCCTGGCCTCGGACTCCTAGGTGCGTGCCCATTGCGATCACTGATGCACGTGTGCCTGAGCCCTGGGGTCCCAATCTGGTGGGACGGGAGCGCGCGAGACGGGGACTGGCTGCGAACCGAGAAGCTCAGGTTAGAGGAGTTGGAACTGTAGAGCGAAGAGATCTGGGCCATTAATCTCGCAGCAGCAGCAGAATTAAGGCACTGATCCCTCAGTAGTGAGTGGCTAAGTGCGCAGACACTCCACTCCTACCAAAAACATGGATTAGATGAAAAAGATTTAGCTTTAAAGTAAATTCTGATTCTTGGCGATCCCATGTATTACATGGGACTTCTTGATTGTGATCTTTACTGAAGCAAATCAGAACTTTCTTTTGCAGTGCCCGATGGATGGGTTCCAACTGCCGTCCTTTACGTTGGTAATCAAGTACAGACCATTTTCACTGCATAGGGACCGCTCCTAATTTATAAACCGTTTGAATTCCCTTTCCACCACTATCTAGGTGTGGCCTACACTGTGATTTCACCTTTTAAAGCCTCAGTTTTGTCATCCGTGAACAGAATCGGAGTGATTTCACAGGGCTGTTGAGTGGATTAAATGAGAGGATGCTTGTCAACCATTTTGAGGAAGGTAAGCATTCAATCAATACTAGCTGTCATTAGGAGCCCTGGTAGCATAGAGGTTATGTGTTGGGCTGCTAACTGTAAGGGCAGCAGTTCAAATACACCAGCCGTTCTGTGGGAGAAAGATGAGGCTTTCTGCTTCTGTAAAGATTTACAGCCTTCGAAACTCTATACAGGGTCTGAACGGACTGGACAGCTCGTCACCACCACCTACCATACATGTACATGGGACTCCTGGTGTAGGATCAATACTGGACTGCTGACCACAAAGTCGGCAGTTCAGACTCCTTGGAAACCCTAATAAAGGGTTGCTGTGAGTTGGAACCAACTCGACGGCACCTAACAACAACATACCTGTACTGGGGAGCATGGTGGCTCTGGAGGATAAGCATAGGACTATGACCCACAGGTCAGCAGTTCAAACCCACTAGCTTTCTCCATGGGAGAAAGATGAGGCTTTCTGTTCCCATAAAGATTTTGTTGTTGTTGTTATGTGCTGTGGTGTCAGTTCCGAATCATAGCAACCCTGTACAGGGTTTCTGAGGCTGTAAATCTTTATGGGAGCAGAAAGCCTCATCTTTCTCCTGTGGAGCAGCTGGTAGTTTCAAACTGCTGACCTTTTGGAAACTCTGTGCATGGTTGCTGTGAGTTGGAGTCATTGACAGCAGCCAACAATAACAACGTAAGTGTAGAGACCTCCCTGTCTCACTCTCCTGCCAGAGTTTGTTTCAGGGACATAGTCTCCGTCTCTCTTTTATCGCCCCAGTCCTTGCATATTTATTGAGCACTCACTGTATACAAGCAAGCTGTCCTTTTCATCTGTTTATTCATTTATTAAAATCTTGCCAGTAGTGCCCCCCGGCCCCTTCCCAGCATTGTGACAATTAGAAACACTCCAACAAAAATTGTCCCAAGTACCTCTGGGGTTGACAGCTCTCACGTGAGGAGGGCTGGTTGAGGGACCCAACCATGGGTGGCAGTGGGGTCTGGAACTACGAGTCCCTCACAAGCACCGCCATTGAATCAGCACTGTTCTCTCTTCCAGGTAGCCCTGCAGACAGGGCCTGGCGGGCAGAGCATGCCCAGTGTAAACCATGAGGACTCTGGTGGAGCTGGCCATCAGCGGGATGCAGGCCCTTCACCGGCAGTACCGCGGCCGGGGCAGCCACCGGCTTAAGGCCAGAGCATCATATGTGGATGAGACTCTGTTTGGCAGTCCTGCGGGTACCCGGCCCACCCCACCAGACTTCGACCCACCCTGGGCGGAAACCACCAACAGAAGCCGGAGTCTGAGTTCCGGGGTGTCGCAGGCCAACGGGAAGTGTGAGAACACCCCATCCTGGGGCGACACTCCAAGCCTCACACCAAGGAAGAGGAACAGATACAGGTAACGGGGTGGGAGCCGCACTGTGTTCACTACAGCCACTGCCAGGTTTCCTGTGACAGCCCTGCTGCTGACCTCTGGGACCTTGATCCAGAGTCCCCGGAGACTCTCAGGGCTCACTCCGTTGGGGTGTCTGTGTCAGCCACCCTGATGAAAGCAAGGTTCCTGATTCTAATACTGGGTTTGCCCCTGGAGTCATAGGGGCACATGCTGGGGAACTGAGGCACAATGTGGGGTACTGGGTCCTCACCTTAGTGCCAGATTGGGCAGCAGGGACTCCTGGGATTTGCAGGCAGCCCCTCTGCTGCTTTGGGTACTGGGGAGCATTAAGGTTTAGGGATCATTTCTGTCCCAGCTCACTGTTTCTCCCCTCTGCCAGGTTGATCGGCCACACACCATCTTTCTGTGATGAATCGCTGTTTGGCTCCCGGCCAAAGGGCACCAGCTGGGAAGCCCCATGGATAGCCAAGGGTGATGCTGCAAAACTCCATGCCCTCTTCTGGACGCCACCCACTACACCCAGGGGCAGCCACTCGCCCCAGCCCAGGGAGACCCCGCTACGAGCCATCCACCCAGCCAGTGCTTCCAAGACAGAGCCCAGGGTGGCAGCTGACTGCAGGAAACTGCCCGTGAATGGCTTAGATACTCCAGACCGTCTACCACGGGGGCGCTCCCAGTCCCTCACCCACCTGGATGTTCCCAGCATGGCTCTTCCACCTACCAGTGCCCCCCATGCCAATGGGCCTGCCCTGTTAGGGGTGACCTTTCGGAGACCTCTGCTGACTCCCAGGGCACATTCCATCAGCGTGTCTGTGCCTGCCACCCCCCGACGGGGTGGGGTCCCCCAGAAACCAAAGCCCCCTTGGAAATGAGTGTCCTGGTCCTGGGTTTGCCCCTGGGGTCATGGCGTGGCTTAGAGGATAGCACAGGTGGGCAGAGCCTCCCTTCCAAGACAATCCGAAGTGGTTCCTGCTTAGTTATTCCCCTGCTGGGGGCTGTCCTTGAGATGCCGTTCTTGTCTCAACCCCGCTATGTACTGGTGCCAACCGAGTGCCCCCCACCCCCTTCAAGTGTGAATACATGGTGAGTGCCAACAGGGACAAAAGGTTCCTCTCCCCACTTCCTGTTGAGCTCCCTGCTGAGTCCGAAGGCCCCAGAGACTCTCCTGGGCAGAGTGTGGACATGGGGGTGCAGGAGGGTCTGGGATAATACATGGGGGAGCATGTGGTCATGTATTTTCATGTGCATTAAATATGTGAAAACCATGATGGCTGCTGATTTTTCTCCCTTAAGACCAAAGTTAGAAATGAGTGGATTTAAATAACAAAGTACAATAGGTGGAACCAGGATAAGGCAGAAATCTTGTCAGTGGCCAACCGGGGGTGCAGTAACACTGTTGGCCTTGTTGTCCAGCTGATGCCAGTGAACTGGTGGCCCGGCTGCTGCCTTCTGCCAGCAAAACAGGAATTGCAGCTTCATTTTGAACCCCTGTGTGTATGAATGCATTGCTCATCTTTGGGAAAACTGCCTGGGACTTCTCCAGGTGGAGGGGTCAAAAAGGCCAGAAAAAAGACCTGCGTGTCTAGGAAACTCACAGAACCCCTTCTCCATATGTGCCAGAGCATTACCTATACCCCCGGCCCTGGAGTGGATCACGATTCAAACGCTGTGGCCTTCAGTCCCTGGTGGATGTTGGCATGGGGACTGGGTTTGGGGCCCCTCATCCCTGTCTCTCTCGGAAGGAAGCACTAGGGGAGCCCAGTGGAGGCACAGCATTGGTTTTGTATTTCTGCTCTGGGGAGAGAGAAGGACGACGGAGTGGATGCTGCTAGACCAGGGTCACTTGCAAATGCCTGTAGGGAGGTGGGCCACCAGGACAGCAGACCAGCTGCATTCTTTGGGCACAGACTGACTCTATTGTAAAGGGGGTCTGCCCTTTATTAGACACAAGTCAGAAATGGCCCTCTTCCCTCCCAATTGTACTAAGACGACAGCCCAGCTGTGAAGCTAAGGCCTCGTATAGGAGAGTGGCAAGGTTACCGCTCAGTTCTAGAAGAGGGCTGTGTCTGCAGGTGGAGAGGTAGGCCCAGATGGTTAGACTTTCTCCAGAGACGTTAGAAAGCTGAATCTGTGAGTGACAGCCTGTTGTTATAGGATACAGTACTGTACCACAAGGCCAGTTTGCACTACAAGGTCGGTGGTTCAAATCCACCACCAGCTGCTCCTCAGAAACCCTATATAGGGTCACTGTGAGTCTTAACTGACTGGATGGCACTTAACAACAACAATTTCAAAGTCCTGGTGTGGCGCTGTAGAATAATAACTGCTAACTGCTAACCACATGATCGACAGTTGAGACCCACCAGCTGCTCCTCGGAAAACCCTATACAGGATCACTATGAGTCAAAACCCACTCGAAGGCACTTAACAATTTCAAAACGTTCCAACTACCTGGGCCCCAAATAACACCAGAGTCAGGCAGTAGGCAGTGACCCCTAGACAGATGAGTCTTCCAAATCCTAAAGCGGGGAGAAGTTTCGGGCAAGATGATATTCCTAGGGCAGGCATAGCATCCTGAACCCCCAATGGCCTTGCCCCTGGAGTTTACCTGTCCCTGTACCTTGGGTCACAGCTATAATACCTCACCCCCCACCCAGACTGGGCATGTGTCCGGTGGCCATTCCCGCTGCTCCCATACAACAAGTGTCACGCTCCTCACGGACCCCTCTGGCCGCTGGCATGCACACAGTTCTGGTACAGTGGGCGTGGTTTAAAATGTGTTTTAATTGAAAGCTATGTAGCACAGGCTCTCTGTTCCAGGGTCCATCTCGGAGCAGGAGGACTCATTTCTTGCCCTTCTTCTTGCCCTTGCCCTTTTCCTTGGCTTTGCCCCCCTTGCCCCGCTTTTTCTTCTTAGACCTGAGCAGGGAGCGAACCAAGTAGCCCTTCCACGTGGCCTGGATGAGCGTGGCAGCCCGCACCATGAGTACCAGCTGCTCCTCTGCCTCCATCCGCTTCTTGGAGATGATCTCCCGCTCCGTGCGGATCTGGGAGAATTCCTTCAACAGCACTTCGTGCTTCTGCCTCAGCTCCTCCAACTGCAACTTCTCCTCTTTGTGGATGGCATCCAGCTCCTCTAACTCAGCCTGCAGGAGATCACTAGATCTGTACCCCTGCTGCCCAGACAGCCTAGCAACCCCACCTAAGCTCAGAGGCCAGCTCCAGGCAGGAATGGGGAAAATAACAGCGCTTGCAAGTTGGCAACTGAGCTTTAGATCTTAGCTCAATCACCACTTGAGAGGCTTCACCTCGCGAGCCTGTTTTCTCAGCCATGTCAGAAGATCATTCCCAACCTGAATGGAGGGCTGAATGACGTAGTGGACAAAGTACACTAGACACGATGCCCGGCACACAGTGGGATACGAGACAGGCAGGCAGCTGCCACCCAGACACCCAGAGGGCGCTTCTGAGCCCCAAAGTTTATCCTTATATCTAACTGCACCTCTTCTGTCTGTAATTATCATCTCTCCTTCCTCTTCCATCCTCTTTCACTCCCTTTCCCCTCCCTCTCTCCTTCCTTCCTTCCTTCTACCCATGGTCTCTTCTCTCCTCCCTTGTTTCCACTGATGTTTCCCAAGCACTCGCTGTAACTGAAACCCTTCCAGAGCCCACAGGGCTGAGTAGACAAAGTATCACCCCCGCCCCCCCAACACACATACCCCCATCTCTAAAGTCTCCTCTCCCTGGGCCTGAGCTCAGATACAGCAGGGCCCACCCACTTCCAACAGCCATCTCAGGGGCTCCCAGGCCGTCCTCTGCCCGAGCTGCTGCAGAGATGGGTGGAGGGTTTAGGGGTACCGGGTCTGTGGACTGCCTCTGACTAAGCCCTTCCTCCACAGCAGACCCTGGACTGGGTACAAGCACTTGTGGCAACTCTGTGTCACTTTATCCCCACCACCGTCTGGAGACGGTGTCATTCCCTCTGCTGACCATGCAGAAGTGGGCTGATGGTAAGTGACACTTTCCTGTCACAGCGCAGCAGCTGGCACCTCCAGTGAGAACCTGCTGAGTGGGGTCTAGCTCTGGAGTCTGTGCGGGGTAAGCCCCAGCTGAGTCAGGAGGAAGCAGAGGAGTATGGGATGTGGCCACTAGGTGGAGCCAAGATCCTTAGGCTGAGTCCAGGCTCTTCCCAGTGTCTAGCGGTTTCTGGCGTCTTCCTTTCCCACCTCGCCCCTCTCTGCCCGGACTTGACAAACCCTTAAGCCAAAGGAGCACGCTGCAGGTCCATTCCAGGCCCCATCCTGGCGTGTCCCCCTCCATACCTATAAACAAATCCAGCCACTAGTACCTGCTTTTCACTCATCTCCAAATCATACTTCTGGATCCAGTTCTCTATTTCCGTCTCAACTTTATATTTCTTCTAAAAACAAAGACAGCACGGAGTTATAAATGGATGGAGGGGTATCATCAATAAGTGTCTGTCAGAACTTTTGCATCAGAATCTGCTGCGGGGAGAAATCGGCACATGGCTCACCTAATTGAATGCATACAAGATCTGTTCCCACCGCACAGATGAGGAAACTGAGGCTCAGACACGTAGGTCCCGGATTTGAAGCCAGCAGTCTGACTCTAGAATATTCTCTCAGGCCTTAATGCTCAGTAACAGCAAAGGCTCTGATGTCTGGCACAGAACAAATGCTCAGCAAACAGCTGTTTTTATTATTGCCCCTCACAACCACCTGAGAGACAGGGCCTATGATTATGCCCACCTTACAGATGGAGAAACTGAGGCTCAAAGAGAAGAGGCTGCTTGCCCAAAATCCTCCAACTGGGCATCAGGGGTCACAGGTCTAAATTCAACTCCAAGGCCCAGGATTTGGAGCATCTGAATTCCTGGCTCTCAGTCTGACCCCAGCCCCCTACTGTCCAAGACTGGAGAGGCCAGGAGCTCCCCAAAGCCACAGAGATTCTACTCCTGTCCAGGAATAACACCCTTGAAGTGAAATCTTTTCAAAGTATCCTTCCAGAATAGGAACCTCAGTTTTACAGGAGAAAAGTGAAAACATTGGGCGAACTAGTTACTATCAAGCACATTCTGGGCACACAGGAGGCACTCAAACCATGCGTTGGAGAAGTTCCTTCTCCCAGGCCTCCTGTTTTCCATCCTAGATGCTCACCTTCAGAGCACAACCCTGCAGATATACCCCTGGGCCCTGACCTCCAAGGGATCACTCCTGGCTTTAGAGCCAGAGAGACCTAGGTTCGAATTCCTGCTCCACCTTTTTGACCAGCAAGTTTCCTCACCTCTCTGAGCCCATCCTGCCATCTGTAAGACGAAGAGTAAGATAAAGGTAGAAGATTGAATGAGATTCACCCACAACTCTCTGCATGGTTTCTAGAACATACTAATACTTGTAGGTGCCAGAGATTTTCATAGCCATTAGGCACAAAATCAGATCGAGCCTTCTGGAACATCTGTTTCAGTGTCGGTTTCCCACAATTGTTCATTCATGTCACAACAATTTCTTTGAGCCGCTCTTTGGGTGCAGGGGAGACAGCTGTGTGTAAGACAGGGGCGTTCTAGCTGGCACGCAGCAGTACTGGGACAGGGGCCCAGGTCTTTCTGCCCCGAGTCCCCAGGCCTGTCACCTACACCCTCCTGCCTCTCAAGGGCCTGTGGCTCCCGGCCTCTGGGAGTGATGGAATCATCCTGCCTGGGTACCTTCCTCAGTGCCTGTTCCTGCTCGCGGTTCTGTGAGACCAGGTTGTGGTACTGCGTGCGCAGGGTCAGGATCTCTTGCCGGATCTTAGCCATCCTGGCCTGCGAGGCGCGGAAGTCTGCCTTCTGTTGCTTTTCGGCTTCCTGCTTGGTGCGCTGCAGACTGTTCTCCGAGAACTTGAGCACCTGGTGCAGGTGTTTTTTCAGTTCTTGGATCACGAAGTTCTCCTTTTCCACCTGAGTCAGCAAGATGAGGAGACTTCATTAATCCCGACCCCCATGACCAGGTTCCCCGGGTCCACAGCCAGGCCAGCACACTCACTCACAGGGCCGGGTGTGCCACCTGCATCTTTACCTCATCTAACCTGCCCTGCAACCCCTCCGCATGGGAAGGGACAGACCATTTTACAGACGAAGAAACTGAGGCTCAAGTGGTCTGGCTGGGATTGTATATAACTGAACCAGGGTTTGATGTCAACCAGGTCTGTCTGTTTAGAGCACACATTCTTGGCCACCACCTCTGTTTCTAGGTGAGAGGCACAGGTGGGCTAAGTGAGGCCACTGGAAGGGTCTGGGTCAGCGGAGACGCCCCCACCACAGAGAGAGAGAGAAGGAAGAGAACACACTGTAACTGGGCTCATCCCTGAGGTTTGTTGTTGTTGTTGTTGTTGTTGTTAAGTGCCGTATACTCAGTTCCGACCCATAGTGACACTGCATAGGGTTTCCAAGGAGCAGCTGGTGAGCTTGAACCGCCAACCTAATGGTTCAAACTGACTTTGTAGTCCAGCGTTGTTGTTGTTGTTGTTAAGTGCCGTTGAGTCGGTTCCGACCCATAGCGACCCTGTACAGGGTTTCCGAGGGTGTAAATCTTTACGGGAGTAGAAAGCCTCATCTTTCTCCCGCGGAGCGGCTGGTAGTTTCAAACTGCTGACCTTAGGGTTCGCAGCCTGATTCGTAACCACTACGCTACCAGAGCGTATTAACCCACAATGCCACACCAGGACTCCATGGCTCATTCTTTGCCCTCTGTTTGTTCCTCAGCAGAAATGGGGAGCCAGGGAAGGGGCTGTTTTGTAAACAAACTGCAGAAAAGCTCATCAGAAGATGTTAGCATCTACACCTAATAGGTGCTGGGGCTAGTCCGTTTCCTCTTTTGCCTCACATCTTGACTTCACTATCCCTAATCCATTTAGTCTAAGTTCTATTCCCCTGTGGCACTCCCTTAAACCATCCTTCATCGTACTTCTCACAAAGGTAATGAAATCAGTTCTCTAAAACCTACCTTCCCTACCCGAGTGTGAAGTCCATGAGGCTGACGCCAGGCCCCTTGTAAATAAGTGCTCAAACATTATTAGTGGAAGAAATGACTCGGGGGAGAAGCTACTTAGATCACTAGGAGTCATGATTCCTCCTGGAGAGGTTCATGCAATTGCTTAATGTGGTTAAGTAATCAACAGGTTACCAAAAGGGTGGTGGTTTGAAACCACCTAACAGGAGGAAGACTTGGCAACCTGCTTCTGTAAACACTGCAGCCTGGAATATTCTGTGGAGCAGTTGTGCTCTGTCAGAAACACAGAAGAAAGACCTGGCAACTTGCTTCTGTAAAGTCTACGGCCTAGAACACTCAGTGAGGCAGTTCTGCTCTGTCAGAATCGACTCGACAGCAATTGACAACGACAACATTTAAACCACTGAGGAAAAATTCAGCCATTGAAAAGCTCCGTGCATAACCCGGCAATACCTCAGCATTCCTGTTCTTGATGCTTTCTGCCAATTCACTTTCCAGAGCTGCCACGGCTTCCTGGTTCCTCCTGTCCCGCCTGCTGATATCCTGTATGAATTGGGCCTTGTCCCTGGCCTCCATGGGGCTAGTGAGCAGCTTCTCAAACAGGAAAATTCGGAGTTCCACCAGGTTGTTGATAAAACTCTGGGCTTCTGAGCTTCTGCCCAGCATCTGCAGCTGCAAGAGCCGGGTAATCTGGGGCTTAGCGAGCAAGAGCCGCAGGATGTTCCTGGTGGAGTCTTTGATCTGCTGCATCAGTGGAAAGAGGCTGGATTTCTGCTTCTCCACTGCAAGGAGCAGTTCTCTGAGCATCCGCTTGTCCTCCATGTCCTCCATCTCTTCTAACTGCCTTTCTTGGTCGTTCAAATTGCTGACGGCATCCAGGAGGGTCCTGCAGAGGGCCTCATGCTCACTCACTACCCTCAGGGTGTCCTCCCCCAGCATTTTCTCCAGAGCTGCTTGATTGACGGCCACATCTGACAGCAGGGTCACCAGCTCCACCTTGTGGATAGCCTCATCCAAAACGGACATGATCCTCTTTGTCTCGATGGTGGTGAGTTTGGTCCTCATGGGGGCAAAGGATCTGAGTGGGGAGGCTGATTTTTTGGGTGCCTCTGCTGTCAGCAGCCTCATTCTGGAGATCTCAGGGCCTTGGTAGAGGGGACCCACGGAGACAATGTCCACAGCCATTCTGTGAGCAGCTTTCTTTGTCTTTGTGCACCCTGGAAGATTGAGACTTGGGTAGCCTGTGTGGGTCTCCCACTTTTATTGTTTCCAGCAACCCTGAAAAAGGACAGAGTGAGCTGTTAGTGGAGCCATGTGGCATCTCAAGGTGAGTGTGGCCATAGTGGCCAGGAATTGCTGTATACCTGAGGAGCTCTGCAGTGTCTGCCCAGAACCTGGAGCTGGAAGGAGCTCTTCTTCTTGTGACTATGTTGATTCCAAGAGGGAAAGAGGGCCAAGTGTGGAGGCAGGTCCCACAGACCAGTTAGGAAAGCAGACATTTCAAAAACACGGGATTTCAACTCCAGATTTCACTGCAAGGAACTGGCCACACAGGTGTTAACAGGTCACATGGACCACAGGAGGAGGAAGTGGTGAGCTTGTGGGTCAGGCTCACTCAGGGAAACGGGAGACACAGAGGAGAGATGAACTCATTGCTAGAAGCAATAGCCCAAAGCAGAAAGAGGAAATAGTCTGGCCTTTCCCTTCCTCCCACCTGCCAATTCAACCCCAGTGCCTCCCATTGGCCAGCCCCAGTGGGAAGTCTACTGACCAGTAGGCCTGGGGAGTACAGCCCCCAGGGATCAGCCTCTTGAAACAGACAGCAGAGCAGGGGAGAGCAAGTGACACATCTAAGGACAAACAGGACTAGGGCCAACTCAGCACACATTCACTGATGACTACTGATGTTTAAGAAAATACTGGGTGGGGCATGCAGATAAAAGAGTAGCTTTAAAAAACAACAACAACAACAGTTTTTCACTCAATGCAATGTGAGATCCTAGATTGGATCCTGGAACAGAAAAAAGAAAAACATTCATAGGAAAATTGGCAAAGTACTATCAAAGTCTGTTCATAGTCAAGAGTATTATATCCATGTTACTGTCTTAGTTTTGACAAAGGTATCACAGTAGAGTGAGATGTGAACATTTGGCAGAGTGGGGTAAAGGGTATTCGGGAAATCTCTGTGATATATGTATATATATATATATATATATATATATATGGTTTTTTTCTCCTGTAAATAAATCTACAAGTACTACAAAGTAAAAAGTTTATTTAATATATTTCCACCCCCACCCCACCCCCCCAAAAAAAATCTATGGCAACAAACAGAACCAACAATTTATGTTACCTGATAGCCCAGTAATGAAGAGTACAAGCTTTGGTACTTTTGGGTCCAAATCCTTCCGGAGTGATCCTGATCTGTTTATTTAATCATCCTGAGCCTGGGCTTCCTCTGCCACAAAACAGGAAGCCTCAGGATGAAGGGGAAGCTGCTAGCTCAGGGCCTAAATGCTGAGTGCTCAATAAATACAAACTACTATTCTAGCCCCACAAGGAGCTCTGGTAGCGTAGTGGTTACGAATCGGGCTGCGAACCTCAAGGTCAGCAGTTCGAAACTATCAGCCGCTCCACGGGAGAAAGATGAGCCTTTCTGCTCCCGGAAAGATTTACAGCCTCGGAAACCCTGTGCAGGGTCGCTATGGGTCGGAACCGACTCGTTGGCACTCAACAATAACAACATTCTAGCCCCAGTGTAATTGAAATCCCAAACCAGGACTTCAGGGATTTCTTGGTTCCAGTTTCGAGGCCAATGGGAGATCCAGATTCCCCTGTCACACACCCACTGCCCATGGTGGGCTGGTCCCCACAAATGAACCCAGGATGTGCCCCTCCGCCCCCCACTCCCGATTTCCTCCTTGTATTTATGTAGAACCTTACCATCTGCCTACCTGCTTCAGCCAGAAACCTGAGAGGTCCCACATGCCCCCTTACCCACTCTTTCCAATCCACCACCCAATCCTGCCAGCGTTCTGTCCTAGAGAGTCGGCCTGCCTTGTACCTGGTGCCGCTGTCACAGAAAGACCACCAGGGGGCGCCTTTAATGAACGGAAATTTATTTCCTCACAGTTGTAGAGGCTGGGAGTCCAAGCCAGGGTCTCGACCTTGTTAGCTCCCTCTTGGGGGGGCTTCTTTCCTTGTGTCTGCTGTCTGCTGACCATCCGTGGTGTCTTTCTTTCCCTGTGTTTATGTGTATGTGTGTGTATTGTAATCACTCAGAAGTGATTAGGTTTAGGATCTGCCCTACAATGGTATGACCACATTTCCAAACAGCATAACACCCACAGGTATAGGGGTCAGAACAACGACATAGAGTTGTGGAAGACCCAGTTCATTGCATAAACCCATTGCTGCCACGTTGATTCCTACTCATAGCAACACTATAGGATAAAGTTGTCATTGAGTGCCGTCGAGTCAGTTCCAACTCATAGCCACCCTGTACAGGGTTCCAGGGAGCAGCTGGTGGGTTTGAACCACTGACCTTGCAGTTAGCAATCCAGTGCTAATCTTACAGCACCACACCAAGACTCTTAAGATGAAGTAGAATTCCCTGTTTGGGGTTTCCAAAGCGGTCGTCTTTACTAAGCAGACTGCCATCCCTGTCTCCCACAGAACAGCTGGTGGGCTCACACTGCAACCCCCTGGGTTAGCAGCTGAGTGCTTAATTGTCTCAGCAGTATCTCCGCCTTAACGCTGCTGTTGTGGGCTGTCAGGTCAGTTCCAATTCATAGCAACCTTGTATAGGGTTTCTGAGGCTGTAAATTGTTAAAAGAGCAGAAAACTTCCTCTTTTTCCCTGGGGGTGCGGGTGGGGGTAGCAGCTGGTAGATTTGAACTGCTAACCTAGCAGTTAGTAGTTCACTGCATAACCCTCGATGCCACCAGGGCTTCTTCTGGCCCTGAGCAAGGGCCTTAAAACCTCTCATTTGGGTGATAAGAAGAACTCCTTTACTGGTCTGCCTATAGCTGCTTCTGCTTCCAGCTACTAAGATCATCTGCAAAGCTATTCATTTGGATATTTATTGAAACCCTGGGAATACACAAGAGATGCAAGATTTGGCTCCCATCCTCCTAGAGATACAGACTCTGTCAGTTATAAAGCTAGTTTGGGGTGTGAAACATGTAGACATGAAGGCCTAGCAACTACAGGAGAAATGGGATAAGGTTGTATTCACAGGGTGGGCCCAGAATGGGGATTGAACTTGTGGGGTGCTGGGATCCATTTTAAGCATGAATGTAGGAGGAGAAAATCCAATTTGGAGTAAGAGCTGCTGCCGCCATGGCTGATATACAGGGGAAAAGGCTGGTGACATAAAGATTGATTGGATTATGACACATCCTCCACCTCCGGGCCTTTGCATATGCAGCTCTTCCTGAAAAAACTCTTCTCTCTCCTCCTTGTCAGTTAAATTCCTTGTATGCCTCAGTAAAAGTGCTACTTCCTCAAGGACATCTCCCCCTGGGCTTCCTCAGTGGGTCAAATTCTTATCCTGCCCAGCCTCTCTATGACAGGCACCCCTGCATTGCAAACCCATTCTTTGTTGCCTGCTGACTTGGATTGGATTGCCTTCCCCAAAGTTAATGTTGAAGTCCTAACCCCGGGTGCCTGTGAGTGGGCCTTGGGTCTTGGCAGATGTTATTAGTTCACATGAGGTCATAGTGGAGTAGGATGGTGTCCTTACAGAAAAGAGACACTGAGGCAGGTACACAGGGAAGACAGCCATGTGAAGACTGAGTCTGAGACATGACAAGGGAGGTTGGCTGTCACCAGAAGCTGGAAGAGAGGCTCGGAACAACATGGCGGACACCCTGGCTTCAGATTTCTAATCTCCAGAACTCTGAGGTAATACATTTCTGTTCTTATAAGCCACCTCATTTATGGTACTTTGTCACAGCAGCCCTAGAGAACCACCTGCCTATACTGCAGAGGTGGGAATCCTAATGCCTACTTTCTCAGCCTCCCTCACAGCCAGGGTGGCTATGGACATAATTCAAACCAATGGGCACAGTTCACGTTTGCAGGGGGATTCTGGGAAACCTTCTACCTTCCTGATAGACAACACAGACATTGCTGGTTGTTGGCTACAGAAGCCAAGAGACAAGGATCTCCACTTAGAGCTAACGACACCTTGGATTCGGACTCCTAGCCTCTTGAACACACAGAAAATAGAGTTCTATTCTTCAAAGCCATGCACTTATCACAGCCACACTAGGAAATTACAAGAGAAACCAAAGAAAATGACAATGAATATACAAGGCAAGGAGATAAAGGGCTAAGATGCTTGCTCCTTGGCCAAATGGACCAAGCTGAGAAGGCTCTCTGGGAGCTCAGGACCATAACCACAGAAGGACTTTAGGTCACAGGGCTTTGATCCACACACCAATCAATCTCCTAAGCTCTTTTGAAGCTTTTCCCGACAGATTGGTTTAAGGGACAGCCACGGGTGCTCCCGCAGCCTCTCTGAGCATGAAGTATCTCTGCCCCATGGCCACAGGATTGAGGTGAACATAGTGTTTAATGAACGGACTTCTCCCATTGTGCCCCAGAGCTCTCTGGCATCAATCAAAACGCCTGAATTCATCAGAAATTGCGGTTGGAATTGCAACGTTATAGGAAATGTTTCCAATTTGCTTTCAGCCAAATTACCTCTTTTGCTTTAAAGGGCAAACTTGTTTTCTTTGATTATGATGACTCCCATCAGTTCCTGACAGCTCATTTGGGTGAACAAGAAAAAGCCCGTGGACTACGATGGGGGGAATGCATCTGACTGTGATGACAAAAAAATCACCGGAGAATCTCTTTTCCCTGAATTCTAATATGATCACTTCACGTCCTTTTGAATGCCATCAACCTGAATATTCAAATCATTTCCAACTTGAGCCTCCCCTTTTAAAATTCCTGCCCTCAGAGTGAAGCAAGATTGTTAATGGATGGGGAACTTTAATTGGATCTTCTCTTTATTTGTCATTAATTCTGCTGATGAACTTTACAAATGGAAATATATCTTTATCATGCAAATTACACCTCGTCTTCATTCAAGTAGGCGTGTTGGATATTTTATTACATTTCTCTCTCTTTCTCACTGAATATTTTGGGGGAAAGAAACAGGAAAATTGTATTTT